AACAACATAGGATACTTTGTGCGCTTGGACACCCTATGGAGCAGTGATTACGTTTCCAGCTCACAAGGGTCCCTATATCACAAGGGGTAAACCCCTTATTTACTTCAACCGCATTTTTCGGGGCGGCGAAACCTTTTCGCAAAGCAAGACGAGTTGGGTAAACACCCCTGCTTGCCCTGCGAAAAGGTTCTATACAAGCGCAAAAACACCCTATGTTGTTCCTAGCGTTTGCACTTTCAGAAAACTGTAGAAGCAAAAAATACTCCTTAGAGGTTTGTCGCATGTCCCCTCCCTTCGTGCTCGTAAGGTTTGGTGCAGGGCCCTGGAAGTTTGTCGCATGTCCCCTCCCCTCGTGCTCGTAGGGTGCGGGTCCCTCGAGGTTAGGCCTGAAAGCCCTAGAACCATAACGTGCTTCAAGACCGCAGCATGCGAGGTTGGAAGGTTTCAGAGAGGCTTGGTTAGTCCCTGTGTGCGCGAGAGACTGAGCGTGTTCAGCGTATTCACCCAGCATCCTGCCTTGCAGGGACCGAGCGTACTCAAAAGGCACCCAAGCTTTGGGGACGGACCGTGTTCAACTAGCATCCTGCTTTTTGGGGACCGAGTGTACTCAAAAGGCACCCAAGTTTTGGGGACCGAGCGTGTTCAACTAGCATCCTGCTTTTTGGGGACCGAGCGTACTCAAATAGCACCCAAGTTTTGGGGACCGCACTTTCAGAACACGTATGTCCCCTCCCTCTGTGCTCGTAGGGTTTGGTGAGAGCCCTAGAAGTTTGTTGTATGTCCCCTCCCGTCGCGCTCGTAGGGTGACGTCGTAAGCAACTAGCAACCCTTCTGCGCTGTCATGACCAAATCACATAGCTCGCGCCATGGCGAGCTACTTGGTCGCAGGGAAACATCTATGGTGAAAGCATGTTTTCAAGGCTAGTGTTCTGCGCCCAATAGCCTGGCAGCAATCGTGGCCCTATAGCCCGCCTGCATTTTAAAACGGTTCCAAGAGCCTGTCCTGGTAACGTGGCCCCATAACCCGCCTGCACTTTAAAACGGTTACATTAACATTTAGGGCCTTCACCCTATGAGCATGAAGGGACATGCGAGCAACTTCTAGGGCCCTCACCAAGCCCTAGCACGAAGGAGTGGACATACGACAAACCTCAACGGGAGATGTTTTTACTTCTTCAGTGTTCTGAAAGTGCAAACGTTCGGAAAGCATAGGATGTTCTTGTGCTTGCACACCCTATGGAGCCACGATTACGTTGCCAGCACACAAGGGATGAACATCTCTATTTACTTCAACTTGTTTAGGGGCTGTGAAACCTTGTCGCAAAGCAAGAAGAGTTGGGTAAAAGCCCTGCTTGCTCTGCGAAAAAAAGGTTCTATACAAGCGCAAAACCTTCCTATGTTGTTCCTAGCGTTCACACCTTCAAAACACGGTAGAAGCAAAAACATATCCCTTACAGGTTTGTCGTAATTATGTCCCCCTAGAAGTTTGAGGCATGTCCCCTCCCTTCTTGCTCGTAGGGTGATCGAGGTGAGGGAGAACCATAACGTGCTTGCACGGCCCAGCGTGCGAGGTTTGAAGGTTTCAGCGAGGCGCCTTGGTTTGTCCTTGTGTGTGCGAAAAGACTGTTCAACTAGCATCCTGCTTTTGGGGACCAAGCATACTCAAATAGGACCCAAGTCTTGGGGACCGAGCTTGTTCACCTAGCACCCTGCTTTGTGGAGCCGAGCGTACTCAAATAGCACCCAAGTCTTGGGGACCGAGCGTGTTCCACTAGCATCAATGCTTTTGGGGGACCGAGCGTACTCAAATAGCACCCAAGCTTTGAGATTCAGAAGTAAGAACATATCCCTAAGGGGTTTGTCGTATGTCTCCTCCCTTTGTGCATAGGGCTTGGTGAGGGCCCTCGAAGTTTGTCGCACGTCTCCTCCCTGCCTGCGCGTATAGGGTGACATCATGAGCAGCTAGCGCCCCATTTGCGCCCTGATGACCAAATAGCTCACACCATGGCGCGAGCTACTTGGTCCATGGTGTTTTAGCAAGTTAAAACACAAGTTTTCAGGGCTGCTCGCAGGGGCATATTCACAACCCTTATGGAGCCACGATTACGTTACCAGCAAAGCGATAAACAGCTCAATGTACTTAAATCACCTCTTTACGGAACGCGTTTTACTGGTCGCAGGGGCATATTCACAACCTTTTAGACCCACGATGACGTTACCAGCACAGGCTTGTGGGTTTCATCGCAAGCAACTAGCACCCCATCTGCGCCCTGATGCCGGTTTCAAGCTGGGGTTTCAAATTGGGCTCAACAGGGGGATGTTGCCGACTGTTGGCCGGATCCGGGTTTCAAGTTGGACCCATAAGCGGCATGTTGGCCAGATATGGGTCTCAAGTTGGGCTCATCAGGGCATGCTGGCCGGGTCCGGGTTTCAAGTTAGAGTGGCCAGGGCCGCATTGGCCGGTCCGAATTTCAAGTTGGGATCGACAGCGGAATGTTGGGCGGATCCGGGTTTCAAGCTGGGCTCGCCAGGGCCACGTTGGCTTGAGGGTGCAGGTTGGTTGCGCGGATGGGGCTTCTTTGAGGCGACGACGGGGTCACGCGAATCGGGCTTCTTTGAGGCGACGACGGGCTGCAGGTTGGTTACGCGCATGGGGCTTCTTGGCATGGAAAAGGACACCCGCACGTGTCAAGACGGCTCTACAGTAACCACCTTCCCAGGTGAAGTTAATTGCAAACTTGACCTGTGGAGGTTTCTCGATATTAGAGGTCCATGTTGTGGGTGTCCCTTTAATGGGTGTTTCTTGTCTAAGAAAGAAAAAAGGATGACAAGTCTTTCGCGTTCTCAAGTTTGCGCAGCTGCGTTGCGTGTCGCAAACCGAACTTGGCGTGTGGAGGTTTTCCAAAATTAGGGGTCCGTTGTGGGTGTCCTTTTCAAGGGTGTTTTGCCATAGAAGCAATCAAATAACAAAGACACCCTAATTTTGGACAAATGTAGCAGAAGCGAGTCCTTTGTTTGTGGTCTCAAGCTTGAGTGCACCGTCGCGTTTGACTGTCGCAGGCCAAAGTGTTTTTCATGATGGGCGGTCACACGCTGCCTCCGCTCTTCGTTGCGTTGGTGCTTCGTACTGTTTTCCCTCTGTGTAAATCTAATCCCTAAACCCTGCACCCTAAAATGTCTACAAACTTACTGTTTGGGGTCTTTGCTTGCATGATTTCTGACATCATTGTTGGGTGCACATCCGCGGGAGATAGAGGGAGGGTTTGGCTCATGGCAGGTGGGACCTTCTGGGCTGCTGCAGAGTGCGGGCCATTGCCACTTGGGCAAAAGCACCTGCAACTCGCTTGTGAATAGAATTTGGGAAGGCTCGGCGTCGGCCAAGGTGGATGAGGAGGATGCTGACCTCCTCATCCTCGAGGCGAGCACGGAACGCCTGATGAGCCGTGGCTGGCGGCACCTCTGCGACAGACGTCCTCAGGAGGCCGCGGCGGACTTCGGAAAAGTCATCTCCCAGCACCCTGACTGTGCTGCGGCCCACAACAACCGGGGCATTGCCCTGGAGATCTTGGGGCAGAGAGTGGAGGCGCAGCGGCACTACGAGGAGGCGGACCGTCTGGCAGCACTGGCGACTGACGCCGATTTGCAGCGCAGCCTATGGCTGACTCGGAAGTGGAAGCCCATCGGCTGGCAGGCCAAGGGTGAGCCGGAGGCAGAGACGACGGCCGCGGAGGCTGACTTCCTCCTATCCTTCGCTACGCCCGACGCGAAGGAGAACAACCGGATCTTGACGGCGCTCTGCGACGGAGTGCGCTTCGGCGACACGATCCGCCCCTGGGCGTCAAAAGGTCGTGTTTTTTTTCCGCCATCCTTTTTCTCCACTTTGCTTTGCCGAGGCCGTGTCACGTTCTGCCACGACCGCTCCTTGGGAATGGGTCTGCACGTGGTGGACGGACAGGCTCGAGGACGGCACGATCCGAAGTTTGCTGACTTGGACGAGGACTTGCAAACACAGTTAAGCTCCATGAGCCCTGAACCTGTCGCTTGGTTTCAGGGTTGGGTCATCGTTTACAATTTCCAGGAGCGCCAGGTCGGTGAGTTCCCGCGCTGGCCTCTTGGACCGCCTGTCCTCATGCAAGGTCTTGGGGGACATTGTTTCTTATATAGTCCTTTTTTCGTTTTGGAAATAACAACACCGGCAAGCAGCTCCAAGACCCTGAATGTATTTACTTCAGCTTCAGCTCTTGTTTCGCCAAATGAGATTGTAAGCAGATTTGTAAGCCTGAGCGGTATCCGATCCAAGTGGCCCAGCTGCGCCTTCGAGGTTCGAACACTACCGACAGGCGGCCGAGGCCACGAAGCACGGGATCCTCCTTCTGCAGCTGACGGAGGGCTACTTCAAGTGCAGGGCCCAGTTATAGGCGTCCTGCTCTGCTGCAGGAAGGGTGTTGAGGCAAGGGGGTCAGAACTCAAGGGGTCTCTGCGCACGGGGAGTCGTAGGTCGAAGGCCTGCCGATGGGAGTTCGGGTACCTGCGGAAGCCCGAGCTGGTTCACGTCTTCGTGTGGGACATCCAGGGACCCCGGATAGTTTCTTGGAAGGACGGGCCGAACTGAAACATGAGGCGCTGCAACCAAACCCCTCGTAAGGGACTCCCCACTTGTAGAACTATAGACTCGCTGCACCTGTGAAGCTAGCATCAAAGTACTGTTGAGGAGGGAGAGCTCGGGACGTGAGGTTTTGTAAGATCCTCGGTCTGACCAGCTGTTCACAGGTGGTCACAACCTTAAGCCTTATCCGTCCAGCGGCCTCCGGGCATTACCACCATACGTAAACTGACCACTCTAAGCCCACAAATCTTCCGTAAGCTGAAGGCACAACGAATCTCTGCCCCAAGTTCCCCTGAGATGTTCTGCGACTGTACCCCTATTTGAGGAGCTCATGGCCGACGCTGGCCTCATCATGCACGTCTTCGCAGGGGCACAGCAGTTGCTCCAAAAAGAAATGGCGGATGGGTTGAGACGAAACGAAGCGCCGGAGGAAGTCGTGACTTGGTTTCGTGTTCGCGAGGCGGCCACACTGGTTGAAGCTCAGGAGCACCAGGCGTGGTGCGAGCTCCCCGTGCTGGAAGTTCTCTATGCGCTGGCGAGAGACAGTCGTGGCGAGCAAAGCGACCTCTGCATGATCGCACAGGGTAAGCTGGCGAAAGCCTTGCTGGCCACTGGGCACGCCAAAGAAGCTCGTGATCTGTTGAGCAGCCTTCTGGACACAGAGATGGAGCATCATGGGCCAGAGGATCCTGGCGTGGCAGAAACGCTCAACAGCCTGGGCAGTGCCTACAATTTTCTGGGAGACCACCTCAAGAGCAAGGAGCTTTTGGAGCAGGCGCGAACGATCTTGGTGCAGCACTTTGGGCCAGACCACGTGTATGTGGCAATGACGCTTCACAACCAGGCTGCAGCCTACGGAGATCTTGGAGATTATGTCAAGATGAAGGACCTCTTGGAGCAGGCGCTCACAACCATGGTGCAGCACTTTGGGGAGGAACACAGAGAAGTGGCCAGCACACTCTGCAGCTTGGGCAATGCCTGCGGGCGGCTTGGGGACTATGCCCGGAAGAAGAACCTCTTGGAGCAGGCCCTGAAGATTGCGGTGGAGTACTATGGATGCGAGCACGTAGCGGTGGCAAAAACAGTCCACAGCTTGAGCACTGCCTATGGACAGCTCGGAGACCATGTCAAGATGAAGGAGCTCCTGGAGCAGGCACTCAAAATCGAGGTGCAGCATTATGGAAGGCAGCACGTGGAAGTGGCAAAGGCACTTGCCAACCTGGGAAATGCCTATGGGCAGCTGGGCGACCCTGTTAAGATGCAGGATCTCTTAGAAGAGGCACACGGGATCATCACGCAGTACTATAGTGAGAAGCACGTGGAAGTGGCAACAGTACTCCAGAGCTTGGGCCATGCTTACGGACTTCATGGAGACTATGTCCGGAAGAGGAAGTTCCTGGAGCAGGCGTTAGAGATCAAAGTGCAGCACTATGGCAGACAGCATGTCGAAGTAGCAATGACACTTCACAACTTGGGCAATGCCGACGGAGAGTTAGGGGACTATGACAAGATGAGAGACCTCCAAGAGCAGGCCCTCCTGATCGAGGAGCGGCATTACGGAGAAGGGCATGTGGAAGTGGCGGAAACGCTTCACAGCTTGTCTCATGCCTACACAAAGCTTGGAGATTCTGTCAAGGCAAAAGACCTTCTAGAGCGGGTGCTGAAAATCAAGGTGCAGTGCTACGGAAAGGAGCATGTGGAAGTGGCAAAGACGCTCAATGCCTTGGGCAATGCATGGGAAGATCTCGAAGAGTATCCGAAAATGAAGGAAGCCCTGGAGGAGTCACTCAGGATCAAGGGACAGCACTACGGGGTGGATCACGTCGAAGTGGCGAAGGCACGCTGCGATTTGGGCGGTGCTTATGGACTGCTTGAGAACCACGCGCAGAAGAAGGGCCTCCTGGAGCAAGCGCTCAAGACACTTCTGCATGAAGCAGATCACGATGAAGTGGCGAGAGCGTTCCACAACTTGGCAAACGCCTACAGAGATCTTGACGACTATATCAATATGAAGGGCATCCTGAAACAGGCACTCAACTTCAACGTGCAGCACTATGGCGGGGACCATGTGGAGGTGGCCAAGACACTTCAGAGTTTGGGCCTTGCCTACGACAATCTCGGAGACTACTCGAAGGCAAAGGACCTCCTGGAGAAGGCACTTGGGATCATGGTGCAGCACCATGGAGAGGAACACGAGGAAGTGGCTGGGGTGCTAAACAACCTTGCGAGTGCCCACATCGACTTGGGCCAACCTGGCAAAGCCAGGGAGCTCTTGCAGCGGGCACTGGCCATCTATGAGACCTTAGACCCAGAGCACCCTTTGGCCGTGCCAGTACAGCACAACCTCCAAGCCACGGCAGATCAAATACAGCATGCACAGGAACGCGGCGTTGCGATTCTGGAGCAAATGCAGGAGCTGTTTGGCGCGGAGCATCCGGATCTAGCCGAGAGCCTGGAGCGACTGGCAGCCGACCCGGGCAGCCTCCAGCATCAGATCGAGCTGCTGAAGCGCGTTCTTGAAGTTGAGGAGCAGATTCATGGGCCGGAGGATCTGGAAGTCGCAGGGACCCTGGAGCTCTTGGGTGAGCTTTACGGAGACCAGGGAAGCAGGTCTTTGCAAAGGACCTCTTGGGAGCGCTGCCTTCGGATTCAGACGAAGCATCTTGGCCACCATCACGCTGACGTTCTTTCCCTTCAGTCGGCCCTGAGCGAGCTTCGGGCGGAGGCTCCAAGGTCGCCCTAAGTGGACCAGTGGGCCTGAGGACCTTAGAAACTTGAGGCCGGGTTGGAGTAGGTTTTTCTGCATCTTTGTTAGTATGCTGCAACCTGGCACCCACACAGCTTTTCTGCAATGCGGGAAAGGTGTAGATCACGCTGGCTCAGTTTGCGGCGCAGAAGGAACCAGTCAGTACCTGGCACCACTTTGGGAACTCAGGTATTGAAGTCGATAGCCCCCTTAGGATTTGTTCTATGTATTTATATAAATACCCAAGGGAAGTCAATATTTTGGTTAAGGTTCTAAGGGGAGTATTGGAGTTTCTCGTCGCACAAGTTGACAGCTTTTCTTGGGATTGACAGCCCTGCTATGAAGCGGCTCAGGTGATACTTGCTGCTATTACGGCCTTTCTTCGTGCAATGATGTCGCTGTCAGGCCTGCTGCCTCCTAAGCGAGGCGCGCGGCATCACTGACTCACAGGGCAGAGGGCCTGCTTGAGGATCAGATAGCGGAGATGCTGTGCACAAGTCACACGTCGTCAACATCTTTGTGCCCAAAGCTGCCGGAAAAGCATGGAACAACAATGTCAAAGAAAGTAGGAGGCAATACACCCGAATCTGTTGTGCGGCAGTCGAGCGTCTTCTGGGCACCGCCACATGGCCAAAAACAATGGCACAGTGGCCGCTGTGGCAGACGTCAGACTTAGACAAGCAAGACGAAGCAGAAAAATGCGAGCGTTGACCACATCAGCTGGTCTTTTTGATATGCGGTCTGCCTCTTTCGTCCAGCAGCGCAGTTTTCCGACATCCTACTGGTGCTGATGATGCTTACCAGACTTCAGAGCGTCCCAAGCACACTTTGTGAGATTGAAGGGCTTGCCAGCGTCCTCAGTCCTTTTGCCCACTGTCACTCCTTTGGCGTTTAGGATGGCCAGCCATCACAGATTTTCCCGCCATCACTGCGTGTGGGTTTCATGGGGTTTCCAGCCATTCCTTGAGCCTGAAATATGAATGCACGCAGTTATTCTGGCTAGTATTCTTCGGGTTGCAAAGAACTGCTGGGGCCGAGCTTGTAGCTGTTCATAGTTAATAGTAAATGGGGTAGTTGCGTGTGTGGAGTACTTTTGTGTGTCGTTGCCTCTGCCAGCTAAATCAAGCTTCTGTGTGGTAGGGTTGGCTTTCCAGTACTGATGGTGAGCCGCTTAGCAAGCTCACGGAGACATTGCAGCCGCAGTGGAGTCAAACAGGACCCTGTAGGAGCTGTGGGGCGAGAGAGATCAAAACAGCCGCACAGCTTGCAAGATAATGAGTGCTAAGTTGAAGCTTACAAGATACGTGCTTTGTTTTGACTGCATAGTAGAGTACAGCACGTACACCGAAACCATCCGCAACATCGATAATCCGACCGTAGAGTACAAAATCTCATCTACTATACATGTATTCTAATATGATAGTACAGTTGAATCTGCATCATAGCAGACTCATGGCAAGGCACAGCCACTCACTGCCGAGCAGCGTGATGTGTGTTCCAGCTGGGTCTGATTTTCGTACTTTCGTATTCTTATACTTCAATGTTCTATACTACTGCTTGGGCTGCAAACCCATCTCTGTAACGGCGCCGCTCCAGTTGACTCTAGTATGCTCCAGCATACACTCGAAAAGTATTTCCATAGTGTCCCCGGGCAAGTGGGAATTCTTGTGAAGTTTGCAGGAAGCTACCAACCTTGGAACAACCTCACCGCTGCAAGATGTTCCATCTCAGAGGCGACCCGTGTGAGCTTCCCTTAACCTGATTCTGGGACAAGGCGGATTTCGGAACTGCAATGGCCCGGGCATGGGCTTCGGTGTGGTTCAAGGGTTTAAGGCTGCGATCAGGGTTGATGGTCCCCCCACCCCGCCCCCCATCGCTCCCCTGGTAGGAATTTGTCGCGCCGCAGTTGTCGAGCTCAAGGGTGGCTACGGCGGCCAAACAACTATTGAGAGTCGCATCAACCTGCACCCTGATTGTCGCGCCAGCGCCCCCAGCGTAACCAACCTGCACCCATGAGAGTGGCATCATCGCCCCAACGCCCCATCAGCGCAACCAACCTGCACCCCTGAGAGTCGCGTCAACATGAACCAACCTGCACCCCTAAAACTGCACCCCTGATAGTCGCGCCAGCGCCCCCTGCACCCCTGACAGTCGCATCATCGCCGCGCCCCATCAGCGTAACCGCGCATCATCGCCCTGCGATCACAACTCTTTACCGGTGACGCAGATGGCCTCCTTTCCGCCCCCACCCACTCCCCCCCTTACCCCCCTAACCCCCCCTACACCCTCTACCGCCCCCTTACCACCCCCGACCACCTACCCCCTACCGCCCCCTACCACCCCCTACCACTGTCTAGTTGTTTGCTGCCGTTTTCCGCATCTTTGCTGCGCGCCGAGTCCAGCAGCACCACAGTGGAATCTACCCAAGATCATGCGCAGACCACGGTACAGCAGCATAGGGGATTGGACGACGCAAGCACGTGGATTGCATCACGACTTCTCATTTCAAGTGCGTGCTAAGCTGTAGCAGCTTTTCTGTTGCCGCCGAAGCCGATTTCACTTCGAATTTCGAGGAGGCCCTTGTCAATTGCTAGCGTTTGGTTTAAAGTTTGTGGTTTTCGCGCTTTGCTTTTTCATTCAGCGATGACAGGAACTTGTTGCTGCTCGGTGAGGACAGAGAGGCTTGGATGTTTTTCGCCTGTTGCAGCGTCTGCTTTGCTGGGCCTGTCAGGCAGAGCTCCGTGATGGGTACTGAGGCGGGAACCTGTACGTCCTTTACGTCTCTTGTGATGTGTGCCTTCTTTCGTCACTACTGTCTACTCAGTCTACCCGGTTAGTATAGTATAGCCGACTAAACATACCGCAATGCGATGTGGCGCGGGCTTTGGGTGTGATGTGAACTTCTTTGCATCAAAGCGAAAATCTCCTTGTTGTCCTCGACCCAACCAAGCACGAATGACGAAGCTAGCCTGTAACAAATCAAGGTCCTCATGTTGGCCTGGACAGCTCGCAGTAGTACTGCATTCCTCTCTGCACAGTCATCCCGGAAAGGGTCATGTTCCTGTCTTCGTGGTCTTCTGAGCTCCTCACCATTCTAAAGGATCGGCCCCAAACCCTAGCAATGGATGACCCTAAACCATAAGAGCAGGCTGGGAAGCCCTAACAGGAGCTGTGGGGCCTAGTGGTGTCAAGCCCTAGAAACTCTAAGAGGAGAATGTAGGTGGCAAGCCCTGGGCCCTAAAAGGAGATGCCAAAACTTCTAAAAGCTGCCGAACCCCCTAAACACCCTAAAGCCTAAGCCCCCCATACTTTAAACGAGTTCTTGGACGGTTTATCACAGAGCCTTTTTGTCACAGCTAAGCCTGAGGTTCACTAGTAGGGGCAGACTGCGGAGTTCTTGACGGAGTAGGTCTCAGACAGTATACTATAGCAGACAGTAGACTATAAAGCTTACTGTAACAGATTGCCGCGCATACTGAGAAACTGCAACGGGGACTTACACCAGGATATGATCGGGGACTGCGAGCGGGAATGCTTCTGGGCTTTGGTAGGTTTAGAGCAAGGAGGTACAGGCAGAGTCTCTCGGAAGAAAGAGTACAGAATCATAGAAGGGCTATCAATTGGGGTTTGGGGGGGAGCAGGTGTAACGGTGTAACTACGACGAACTGCAAAAAATGGGGTTTGGCGGGGGGGGGGGGGGGGGGGGGGCGGGGGGGGGGGGGGGGGGGGGGGGGTGGGGGGAAGGTGTAACGGTGTAACTGCGACGAACTGAAAAATGAAAAGCCTGGTGATGTGACGTGCAGAAACACAAGTTTGCCCACCCCGATCCGTGCTTACTGCCGTATTTGCACGCTCAAGCATTAGACCAGCGTGGAACCTCGTGTTTTGCCCTGAGACCACCAATTATGGACGCACTCGGCTCCAGCTGCTGCTGCAGACCGTATATCATTTCCTATATACTATAGGATACTACATCCGAGAGTAGGCTATATATTGGTGTAGGCTAGCATACTGCCCCAAATTCAATGCAGCCAAGCATGAGGCGTCCGCAGACGGCATGCCTCTTCAGGCCACCTCCTTCGGGTTCAAGCATATTGCACGGTTGTATCTTGCAGTCTAGGTTGGGTGCATAAAGCGCCGCTCGGGTTCGCAGAATTCATCTGGGCCGTTGTTGCAAAACTCTCCCTTTTCGAAGGGCTTCGCTTAAGCATCTTCTTCATAAAGGTAGAGGCACACGAGCCTCGAACATCTACGGAAGCCAAGTGTTTAAGGTAACAGGTAGTTCTCTCAGGTGCCGTTCTCCGGCCCCGAGCACCCTTGTCACTGAAAGTCGACTTCATGTGAGAAGGTACTTTAGCCTGCCTTGGTATACAGTAGTAACAGGAGTATACACCAGCATCAAACTCCGTGAAGCAGCTGGGCAATATAGAGGCCTGTTGAAACGATGTCGCCGATGGCTTTCTGTTCACAGAAAATTGTCACCAGAAACACATTGGCAAGGCCATTGCAGGGCCACTGAAGCACAACTCTGTGATTGAATGTCTGGCGCTGCTCTTCACTCTGTGTTGTAGAAAGTTGAAAGGCTGACGACAACACGAAGATCGACAAGCAGGAGTGTCTTTCCAACATTTGCGAGTATGCTTGCACACCTTTGGCCTCTGTTTTCGTCCATTGCGCAGGCTGATCCCGACCATGATGCTTTGCCGACTGGCTGGAACCTTATTCGTAAGCGATTGGATGTCTTCAAAATGCTCGAGGGTGGACAAGCAGGTGAAGCGCTACGTTTAGGCACCGAGATGCTGAAGAAGTTCGATGCGTCAGACATTCAGCCAAGTGAAATGGACCCCTGTGATCGCCAGCAGATGGTCAAGATTGTAAGCATTTGCAGTGATGCTTGCAAATCCCTCGGCAACCAGTTCCAGCGCAGGGCACTGTTGGAGCGTCTTCTGCAGATGCAGGAGTCGACGATCAATGCCACTCTTCCAGATGAAGCAGTCCGCATCTTAGACACTCTGCAGCGTTTGGGCGACTGTTACCATCGGCTGGGCAACATCCAGAAGGTGGAGAAGGTAACGAAGCGGGCCATGGAGTTTTGCGAGACCCATTTCGGCCCCGATCACGTCCATTCCATCCCGACGATGAGGCTCCTTGCATCCATTCGCGATGACTGGCCAGAGAAGAGGCGGCTCGCTGGACGATGCGTGGCGATTGCAGAGCAAGGCCTCGGCTCACAACATCAGGATCTCTGGCCCCACTTGCAGCTCTATGGAATGGCATGTGTCGAGCTGGAGGATCTTGAGGAAAGCCAGGAGGTACTTGACCGGTGCTTGAAGATCCAGGAACAGCATTTTGTTTGCACCAACCGCCCTGAGATTGTACCCACTCTGTTCCATCTCGGCAGGGCATGGCTGGGCCTTAGAGACTTCCAGCAATCAAAGGAGGTCTTGGAGCGATGCTTGAGGATTCAGAAGCTATGTAGCTTGAAGAGCCCGAACCAGGAGGAGGTCTCTGACCAGGAGCTCACCTTCGCATTACAAGGTGGCACTCTCGTTTATCTTGGCATCGCCTTGGAAAGTTTGGGAAACAAAACAGAGAGCAGCCGCTCTCTAGACCGTGCTATGAAAATCTTCGAGGAGCACTCCAAAGCGGCCTCGCGCCCGCTCGAACTCGCGCGAGCCCTCGTGAACAACGGATGTCTATGCAATCATCTTGGTATGCACAAGCGAGCGAAGGAGCTGACGGAGCTTGCGCTGCAGCTGTTTCGTGAGCACAGGCCCAACGATCCTGATGTGAAAAAAGCACTGCAGATTCTGGCGGAGTCGGAGAACCAGCAGTACCATGAGGAGCTCCGGGAGCAGCTAAAACGCCACCAAGAGCTCAAGTTCTTGGAGCAAATAGAGAGCCAATTGGATACCCCTGCAATTCCAGTTCATGAAAAAGTTCCTGATGACGCAGAGGCCCGGGTCCTCGGTCGGGATGGGCATTCTCATTCCGGTGCGTTCTCCTCGGCATCCTCCATGTCTTTGGGGTTGCTCCGTCAAGTGCTTTAAGGTGTCCTCAACATTAAGGGAATGTCCAGATGATCTTTGGTGCCTAAGCCGGCGGGCATCGTTGTAATTCGTTCCCAGCTGGCGTCCGGGTAACGTAGTGCTCGGATGAGTTGAACCTTTTCATGTTCGGAGGCTTCGTTTTCTCCAAGACCACACACGCCCACGTTTGCGATGATTCTCCCTCTGGCTTCCACTTGTTGACCGCTACGTGTGTATTGTATACGGCTACACTATACACAACTCGAAACTGCTGTGCTTCCCCAATCTTTGTGCTTCCTGCACGAAGACTCTTTGTGTCAGTATGGCACTTTTGAATTCAATCGCCAAGCAATGCTGTGGAAGTTGGTGAGTTTTTGGAGGAGGGTACCATATAAGAAAGGACATACATGTATAAATACAGAAGTAGCTAGGTGCAGCTAGGTACATGTGTCTACAGCTTTGACGACGAGCTCGGACTTGTCTGCAGCTTTTGACCAAATAGCTCGCGCCAGACTTGTCTGCAGCTTTTGACCGAGTAGCTGGCGCCAGACTTGTCTGCAGCTCTTGACCAAATTGCTCGCACCAGACTTGTCTGCAAGCTTTTGACAAAATAGCTAGCTCTTGACCAATAGCTCACGCCAGACTTCTCGCGCCAGACTTGTCTGCAGCTCAAGTAGGTCGCGACAGACTTGCCTGCAGCTCTTGACAAATTAGCTCGCGCCAGACTTGTCTGCAGCTTTTGACCAACTAGCTCGCGCCAGACTTGTCCGCAACGTTTGACCTAGTAGCTCGCGCCAGACTGTTTGCAGCGTTTGACTCTCCCACCAGACTTGTTTGCAGCTCTTGACCAAACAGCTTGCGCCAGACTTGTCTGCCGCTTTTGACCAAATTGCTTGCGCCATACTTGTCGGCATCTCTTGTCCAAATAGCTCGCGCCGGACTGGTTTGCAGCTCTTGACCAAATAACTCGCGCCACACTTGTCCGCAACGTTTGACCTAGTAGCTCGCGCCAGACTTGTCTGCAGCTCTTGAAAAAATAGCTCGCGCCAGACTTGTCTGCAGCTTTTGACCAACTAGCTCGCGCCAGACTTGTCTGCGGCTTTTGACCAAGTAGCTCGTGCCAGACTTGTCTGCAGCTTTTGACCAAAATAGCTCGCCGCAGACGTGCTCGCGCCAGACTTATCTCCGGCTCTTGACCAAATAGCTCGCGCCAGACCTGTTTGCAGCTTGACCAAGCAGCTGGCGCCCGACTTGTTTGCTTTTTACCACCTAGCTCGCGCCAGACTTGTCTGCAGCGTTTGACCAAATAGCTCGCACCGGACTTTTCTGCAGCTTTGGACGCCAGACTTGTCTGCAGCTCTTGACCAAACAGCTCGCGCCAGACTTGTCTGCAGCTCTTGACTGAATAGCTCCCGCCAGACTTGTCTGCAGCTCTTGACCAAATAGCTCGCGCCAGACTTGTTTGCAGCTCTTGACCAAATAGTTGGCGCTAGATTTGTCTGCAGCTGTTGACCAAAGAGCTCGCGCCAGATTTGTCTGCAGCTCTTGACCAAATAGCTCGCGCCAGACTTGTCTGCAGCTCTTGACCAAATCGTTGGCGCTAGATTTGTCTGCAGCTCTTGACCAAAGAGCTCGCGCCAGATTTGTCTGCAGCTCTTGACCAAATTGCTCGCGCCAGACTTGTCTGCAGCTCTTGATTGTCCGAGTCAGTCCAGGGGGATACTCCCCCTGCACTGCACTATACTATACTATAGTATTCTTTACAAAACAACAGTATACTGTAGTATGCTATAGTATACTACAATATACTCTTGTAGTGTGCTATGGTATACGAAAGTAAATTATATTAAAGATAACCGACAGTGTAGCATATCATACCATTATATACTACACCATAGTACGCAGCAAATCATAGTAACACGATCATATACTATAGCATAGTATGCTATAGTATAGCATACTAGAAAGTCGCCTGGATGTTTGGCCAGAACCAGAAAGTGAGTTGAAGGGGCCCTCACCAAGTTCACTTGGTAGTTGGAGGGGCGGAGTGACATATGCTGTGTGTTTTTTCTACAGGAAGCAGTTTTTCTGGGTGCTCCCCATCAGTTTTGTTTGTGTTGCGAGTGGTCCCTGCCAAATTCCTTGCAGGCCGGCGAAAACCAGGATGGTGCTCTGGACGACGGCTGTGCCTGCAACGAGCTCGGTTGGCGGCTGCTACGTGAGGGGAAGAGCCGTGATGCGATCGCAGCCTTCAGCCGCGCCTTGGAGTTTGACGTCAAGGATGTGACGGCCTACAACAACCGTGGAATTGCTCATGAACTTGCACATATGACAGCGGCTGCCAAGGAAGACTTTGAGAAGGCAGGGCAGTTGGCAAAAGGCGATGCTGACTTGCTGGCGAAGCTCGAGCTGGCTCGCAAGTGGAAGCCTGTGGGCTGGAAAAGCCGTGGAGAAACCAAGGCGAAAACGAGAGCTGCAGACGCGGATTTCCTGCTCTCGTTTGCAACCCCCAACACTGACACGAACAACGTTCTCCTCCGCATCCTGAGCAAGGTAGTCTTGTTCAATGGTGGTCTGCGTCGCTCGATGGCAGCATGATTCACGCCATGATTGGGTGTGTCAGGGTTTCTGCACAAAAGAGCTGTCATTGTAGCAGTGTCCACATCAACCTCAGTGGGCAGCGCTTGCTAGGAATTCCCAGAACCCAGAACCCCGACAGAAACCCGGAATAAAAGATCAAGGCTAGCCCATCAGGCCTTAGGAAGCTCTTCGAACGTGGGGCAAAGGTCCCGTGACCTTCTGTCACGACCGCTCCCTCGGCATGGGCGTGCACATCGTGGATGGCGTGCATCAGGGTCGAACGGACCCCGAGTTTCTCGGAGATTCTTGAGGCAAGTGTCGACGCATGTCTTCCACATAAGGTAGGGGTCGGAATCATTGCTAATAATTTTCCCTTGTGGTCTCTTTATAGCTATGCTCTAACAACCCCCCAAACAAGCCTCCTCTAATTATTCTACCCTAAACCCTAAATGTGTGTTTGTCCATCTGGTGTTGATCTTCCAAGCCGATTTGAAACTGAAGCCGATTTGGGTCTAGGGTTTAGGGTTTGGGGTTTGGGGTTTAGGGTTTAGGGTTTAGAGTTTAGGGTTTCGCGCCCATCCCCACCCCAAGATTTCCGGCAGCCAACAAAGGAGCTGTCACCCCAATACATCTGAACGCCTTAAGGAGCTTCAGTTGAGGTCTAGGGAAGCCCTCGAAACCACTGACAATCGGCGTAGGATCGAAAAAGTGGAGCTTCCTCGCTTCGAGGGAGTGTCCAAGCAGACAACTGGGGGCCTAATTGGACATCCTCAAGCGCATTCCTTTTCCTAAAGCTGCGTTCAGATCCCTTCGTTCCAGCCGCCCGGCCCTGCGCCCTTTGCGTCATGTGAAGGCCTAGGTTCGCCTAGGTTATTCTTGGAGATCTTCTGCAATTCAGTGAGGGGAAGAGCCTCAACATCCCAAAACTTGAGGGCCTCCCCCCCAAACACCAACTTCTGGAGCTTTTGACTGCTTTAGCTGAATCTACGGCCCGTTTCAGTTTATACTTTTCGTTTTGCCGTCCTGCAAAAGCCCCAAAAGACCCCCCCATCCCCCACCGCCCGAGCCATGGGCACCGAACCCAGGCGTGCACAAATAGATGCCGGATAGATGCCTGGTTATGGGCAGCCTTTAGAGTTCTCGGCGCGTGCTCTCGCGCGATGATGTTTCCGTTTGCTGAAACTCGTGGTTTGGACCGATTTCCAGGTTGGCCAAAACCTCGTGGTTTAGGGCGGCTTCCAGGACGCAATCGGTGACCATCTGGCACGATCGCTGTTGCCACTTGCTACAACTCGTGATTTCGAATGATTGGTCGCAGTTGACAAATCCGATTTCCTCGCCGTATGCTCAAGCTAGATTTTTGAACACGACTCCAGGTCGCGATCAATGACCCTTTCGTAGCTGTGGTAGAAGAAAAGGGGGGGGGGGGGAGACATACGGAACAAGAGTCAAACTCGAACCCACAGCCCAGGAATTCCAACATTGAAGAAATTCACTGTTCCGCTGTATCCTGGTTAATGCCCTAAGCCCTAAACCCTAAACCCGAGGTTTGACAACCTGGACCACGACCAGAAGCCTAGCGAGTTTCCCAAGTGGTTTCAAGAGTACTCGAAGGCAGCTGAAGAGACGAAACATGGCATCCTCATCCTTCAGCTGACGCATGACTACCTGAAGCGGCAGGCTCAGTTTATGGGGTTGCCCGTTGTCGTCGAGGGGGTACCATGGTATCTCATACTATGCTAGATGTTCTCTGTTTAAACACCAGTGTACCATCAACCAGCTCATGTACTTTCTGTATTTCACAAAACGCGGCTGTTACAACTCGGCTTGACAACTCAGAGGGACAGGAGACAGGAGACAGGACAGGAAAGATCTAAAAAAGCAAGACGGGAGAAATAGCAGCTGGCAGCCACTGGACGCTCAGGCCTGCGAGTGCACCGAATATGGCGGCTAGTGGAGGTCGCAGGCGCGTGCACCCAAGAAGAAGCGGCCAGGGGGAGGCTCAGGTCTGCAAGTGCACCCTGCACCTGTGGGCTTGTAAGAAGCAGCTCGCGGGGGAGAGCCCTTGGTTTGGCTTAGCACTTGGCCTGGCATGGATGCTCTGGTAAACGGAATCTCCATGAATCTCCCGCCCCTCAACTTTCGACAAAACCTGCTACTGTGGTTCTAATCACATGAAGTGGAGACAACCCTGCCGCTGCTGCAGAGACTACTAAACGATGAGCCCAAGTCCCTGAAGTCCCCAACCCTTGGAATTGTAAGACCCCCCAAACCCCATTAACTGAGCTGGAGACTTTGAGACTGCACTGTGGATTCCCCCAACTTTCCAGCCTACAGTGGAAATCATGTTGATTTTTGGACAGGGTGCTCGAAGCAACAGTAATTTCACAGGTAGTCTTACATGGAGAGGTTTTGCGACGGCGCAAGAGACTTTGTGCGAGAGCGAGCTGAGGTCAAAAGCCTGTCGCTGGGAGTTTGGCTACCTACGAAGGCCCGAGCTGATGCATGTTGTGGTATGGGACCACCCGCCGCGCATCGTGCGCTGGCAGCAGCTGGTGACAGATGTGACGCTGTGCAAGCAAGTGTGCATGCCAAAGTACGATCACAAGAAAGAGTTCGGTCAATTGTGGCAAGCAATCGAGAAGGAAGTGCCAGCCGACCGAAAAGCTGCCCTCAGTTCCGCGATCGAGCTTTTCTTCACCGTAATGAGGCTCGAGAATCTAGCTTCCCTGGTGCGTGAACAGGAGCATCAAGCCTGGTGCGAGCTGCCTTTCCGAGAATTAGCTCACGTGCTGGCATCCACTGAAAGTACGCTTGCCTTGGGCACAGGTTGCCCCCTTGTGCATGTCTTGCTTGAGACTGGGCAGCTCCAGAGAGCGCAGGGGTTGGGGGGCGAGCTTCTGCGTGAATTCGACGTGGATGAAGAGGAAGGGTCGGAAGAGCTGGTCCGGATGCAGCGCTTTATGGGCAAAGCTCGTGGAGCCCTTGGCGAGCACCTCCAGCAGAAGGAGATTTTGGAGAGATGCGTACAGATGCAGGAGAGGAGGTTCGGAGTCGATCATCCCAAAGTCCTGACTTCTCTGAATGACCTTGCCAATGCACATGGCCATCTTGGAAATCATGCCAAGCAGCTTGAGCTGCTGGAGCGAGCCTTGAAGATTTCTGAGACCCACCTCGACCCGAGCAGCACAGATCATCTTGAGGTCCTCAACAATCTCGCCCAAGCACATGGTAATCGTGGCGACATCCAACAAGAGAGGGAGCTCTTAGAACGCGGCATCCGCCTTGCAGAGCAGGATCCAGAAGGGCAGAGTAGCCAGCTGCCCAAGTTGTTGACGAGCTTGGCCCTCAACCGAGGAAAGCTTGGAGATCTGCAGGGGAAGAAGGAATTGCTCCAGCAGGGGTTACACCTCCAGGAAAAGCGACTCGGCCAAAACCACCCAGACTTGATAGTTGTCCTGCCGAAGCTTGCTCGTGCAACTCACCAGACTGGCGATCGCGACCAGTGCAGGGAGTTGCTCAGGAGGTGCCTTCGAATCACAGAGATGCACTTTGGCGTCGAGCATCGCAATGTGGGCACCGTTCTGGATGACCTCTCGAAGATTTGGGGTGAGCTTGGCGACGCCCAAGAGAAGAAGGAGATGCTCTTGAGAGCATTGAGCATCTATCAGGCTCATTCTGATCACGTCAATGTCGGGAGAACCTTGGTCAATCTGGGAGCTGCTTGGGCGTCGCTTGGTGACTGGCACCAGATGAAGCAAGTGACCCAGCAGGGGATGGAGGTTCTGCAACAGCACCTGGGGCCCACGGATCCAAAGGTGGCTTTCGCCATAAGCAACTTGGGGGCGGCATGCCTAGTTTTGGGCGACTACTCCAAGAGCAAGGAGCTTCTTGAGCGAGCTCTGGAAATCTCGGAAGGCAGCCAGGCGCAGGAACCTCATCTGCCAGCCCTACGGCAGATGTTCCACAACGCCTGCCTGGCTCTCGAAGACAGCACCTTGGTTGCCGTTGGGCCGTTCGGGGGCCTGATGTACACATCTTCGAGCTGCACAGCGTAGACCTTTCATTCTTTGTCATTCTCATACGTCATCCTTTTTACAAGAGCAAGACAAACTTCTAGAAGATGTTTTTGTTAGTCCCTTGAATCTAAGGCCCTTCATACCCTGCAGCTCTTGCCAGGCAATCTTCGACCCCAGTGCCAGCCGGAGCCAGGGGAGCTGAAGGTAGCCAGAGAGACGGCGCCAGAGGCCAGAAGCGGGGGTGGTTAGGGTTCAGGGTTGAGGGTTTAGGGTTTAGGGTTTGGATTTAGGGTTTAGGATTTAGAGTTGAGGTTTAGGGAAGGGTTTTTTCTGACAGGCCCCCTTGCTTCGAGGCTTCTCTAGATGAGAAGGAGTATTGCTTACCAGGGTGACTCGAAAAAGGTACCCTTTACCCTTTTTCGGAGCAAAGACGCACTTTGGAATTCAATACGGCTCAATAACAATGGCTGGACCGGGCCTGGTGCTTTGAAGATGTGTGTGCTTTTGTCATTGCACCGCCCTCGGAAGACAGGAGGGTATATGCATGCTTGCACACGCGAGCCGAGGGTCCTGCCAAGCGGATCTGTTTGCATCTTGGTCTTGTGTCAGTTTGCGCCGCCCTCCGAAGCAGTTGAGCGGTCTTGCAGGAGATATTTAAGAACTCGCCTATTTTTCAAGGCTGTCGTATCCTCCCAGAATTCTTTCGAGGACAGGTGCCATCGTAAGTTGCCTTGAAGTAAATTGAAAGAAGGTGGTGTAAGGCTGAGCCTCTGGGGACGCAGGGTGAGGTCCCGTGCCACGAGGGGTTTCCGCATGTTTGGCCCCTGGCAGAACCGCGTGCAGATCAAGAAGGTTCACGTTGCAGAGGCCATGAGCGTGGTGGAAGGCAATGTCGGCTGGGACCCAGCCATGGAGAAGTGCTTAGGCCAAGAAGGACCCGCCTCAGTGATGTTCACTCTTCCTTTGACCTTTTGGAGTGTCCGCTCTAGTAGCGAGCGTGAGAAGCGTGATTGTGTTGGCAGTTGTTACAGTCAGTATGTGTACCAGTAGTGGACTTAAGCAGCAACAAGCCCTCGTTTCTTGAGGAGTGGTGATTGTGGACAAGACCAGGCGATTGAAGATCAACGTGTGCCGGGCCTAGCATCCACATGCTGCATGGGCGGCATGCGGCGGTGAGAGACGTGCCGACAGCAGATGTCGATCAAGACTGCGGTCTTTAGTAGGAACTAGAAAAGGGTGACCTGAAAAAGGAGTTAAGGTAAGGGTTGCCGGTTCGACCGAGCTGCTTTGAACCCCCCTCTCACCCTCCACTCACTTCCCGTCCTCCAACACCCCCCTCGCCCAACCCCCCCCACCCCCTCGCCAACCCCACTACACGGGCTAAGCCCCTGAGCCCTTCGTCTAAAGTTTTGGGAAGGCTAAGCGCGTAGAACGCACGCCCGTTGTCCGTCAGACCGTTACCTACTTTGCGTTACGTTGTGTTGCTTTCATTCATCATAAACGCAGAATTGATGTGAGTGGTAATGTTAATAGTAAATTTTCGGGATGATCCCATTCGTCCAGCCAAGGGCAGATGGCGGCGCCTGGTGGTGGCCTGTCAAGCTCCTTGAAGGTGCAATCCTATCTTCCGCTCGCATGGAGGTGGGACAGGGCTGACTGCAGAGGTCTTGAGGGTGATGGACAGGGTAGCTTGCCAAGGCCTTCTTTGGCTTTCTGGCGTTTGTCTCACCCTCCGCGCTCAAAGAGTTTCCATTGCAAGCTGGAAGGCTGTAGAACTGTAGAATTCAATCTACACCGCCTGGGGGAATCAGCCACAGGGGCCTCGAGGTCTTCTTCAGGATATTAGCGAATCCATGTGGGCCCTCTTCGGGCCATGTATTGAAGGTTGCCTGTAGCTAGCACAGTGCCGGCGCCGAACACGGTGGGAGTGTTTTGTTTCGGAAATACGCAGGACTGACTCAGCGTATATATATATATATATATATACGAAAAGAGAGAGCAAGCCATCCTCCAACTGTCCAAGTACCATCTTGCAGCTCAAGATGTCACATGGGCAGCTTCTTCAATTAGGGTCCCTTTTTGGGTGTCCAGTATTAGGCGGCACCCTCGAAAAGCGGCACCCTCGAAAAAGTGTCCCACAAAGGAACCCTAATTTAGAGAACTGCCCGCATAACCCCGCAGTCCTTAGTTGGAGCAATATAGGCTCATGCATCCTCATCGCGTGCTTTTGACAGATTCTTAGCCAGTATCCCAAATGGGACGAAAAGGGGTCATAATAGCTGTGCACAGGCTTTAGTAGCATGTGGGTTCTAGCCGTCCCTGATTTGAATAAGGGTTTCTTGCGACTGGGACTTTGGTGTCAAAAGTTTCAGCATTGGTTCTTTCCATTTACAGAAAAAATCAGCCAGTTTGGTTCAATTTAAACAAGAAGTTGAGATGTCAAGAAGTTTCAGATCGAGCCAAAACGTGTCTCAACACCCACTTGGGCAGAAACTTCCTGCAAAAAATGTGCCCGTAAATGGGAACTTGAAAAGCTAAGGGAGTTTGACTGAGATCCTATTTCGGAACTGATTGCACGTACAGTCCACCACAGTCTTGGAACACGGAACATGAACGGCACTCCGAACCAGGCGTCTGCCTCCACGGTGCACGCTCGGGTCACATGCGATGGATGTCGCAAGGTGCCTGTCATCCCGTTGACTTGATTGCTTAGGCTGCTGGCACCTCTACATCCAACATCAGGGGTTCCTGTAGCAGTGGCGCCTTCGAGAATAAGATGCGCAAGTTCTTCTTTCAAGGGTGGCGCACAATTGAGGCGCCCGTTGCTGGCACACGCTACACGTGCCGCGACTGTGATGACTTCGACCTCTGTGATGCTTGCTGCCAGGCTTGAGCTTGGATGACTCGGGGGCACCCCCCTGCCTACCATACTTGGATCGCAAAGCGATTCCCCGAAGCTCCACCCCACCCGCCCAGAAGCAAGCAAGAGCAAGAGGGAGTGTCTTCCTTGATTACAGTCCTGCCCAGGCTATCAGAGTTGGAGAGGTCAAGGCTTTGGTCACCCTCCGGTGCCCTGGCAACCCTTCGGGCCTTTTTGACTGGCCACAAGGTGTTGGAGGGTTTTGGAGGGTTTTGGGTTGAGTGGGAAGTCTTCGTGGCAAGGGAGCGTCCAAGGCTCTCCATGAAGGAGACCTGTAATACGGGATTGGTCAGTACACGAGAGAATACTAAAGTAGAAAGTACAGCACACAGCAGTGTAGTAGAACCTACTATTTGCTTAAGAACTCCACCCCCCCACAAAGAAAATCAAAACATATTCCTTATAAGGGCCATGTAGGGATGATACTTTTTTTTTGGGGGGGGGTTCTTAAGCAAATAGTAGTACAACACGTTGCAGTGTACTATACCAGAAGCTCGCCCCGAGCCTTGTGAGGAGATGGGTGGGGAAGCCTTTCCTGTGATGCCTGCTGGCGGGCGCAGTATGCCGCATAAGAGCATACAATAGGCTATGGTATACTTCAGTAGCGTTTTCTACAGTGAATCTTCGAGAGCAGCCCTGACTTGAGATCCAGGCGTGTGCCTTCTTGGAGACTAGACAATGGAAGGAAGAGGGTAGGCGAGAATTTGCGTGGCGCCTGCAGCTCCGAGCGCAAGATTCTGCGAGACAAAACTGAACAGTTTAAACCTTCTAACATTGTAAAGTGGAGAAATGTACAGCAGCTTGTGTCATACGCTGTATACAGAGTTCTTGTCACCATCTCAAGGTCTGCTAAAAAGGGCAGACCTCGTTTGAGTCAGGAGACTAAGTCTGCCCTTTTTAGCAGACCTTGAGATGGTGACAAGAACTCTGTATACAGCGTATGACACAAGCTGCTGTACAAGTCCTCAGGACGGGAATCCTAAACCGACACTCCAATCGAACCCGTCAAAGAGACTCAATCACGACGCTTCTGGTTACAGGGTACACCTCTACGGTACGCAACATGCTACATATGCTACATACATGGCATAGGGTCTACGATGTTCCTGAGCTCTCTATACATCAGGATCTTGAATGCTTTGGGTCCTCTTGACATCCCAGCACAGAGGCGCACCGCTTCCGGGCCCTGACCGACGCTGCGGAGGCGCACAGCTCTGAGCAGGGGGTGCTCAGTAGGAGCGCACGCAGACGTCTATAGTACACTGCTATCGTGTAGCGGTGTCTTGGTAGAGCACCTTTCAGCATACGTTGCCAGTATTCTACAGTAAGCTACGCGAGCAGAATAACCGTATCAATAGTAAATAGTATGCTGCGATAGTGAAGTCATGATTAGTGTGCAAGATACTGCTCTACCCCATGCCTTCTATTTTCTTGCACAGGCCCAGCAGTGCACGCGCAACATCAACATCTTCTGCGTATAGCTGCCTAAGTGCAGGCGCGCTTTTCTGCATGTGGGGGAGGGGGGGGTCTCTTTACGAGCGTGTATAGGGAACAAAGGCGCCTGACACATGGCTCATACTAACCCGAACCTCGGCATGAAGACGTAAAGTCACACCTCTTGCTGATAGAAATGATGCACTAAGGTGGGGGTCACACTGTCGCGTGAAGCTAGGTTTCTTTCTTGTAGGTAGATTACAGAGGCTATTGTAACGGGAGAGTTCTGAGGATTGTGACATCGTAGCCTGTGTCAAGGGCCAAAAACACCCAGAGCTGCCCAACGATTGGATGTTGCCAGAAAAAGGAGTGCGCACACTTCTCTGCCAGTTTCCCAAAGACTGATTTCGCGTGTCTCCAAACTGGCTGGTTCTACAGGCAGAACAAAGGTACATCATCTCAATAGGAACTGACAAGCTTCAGAAGCGCCCCATAGTCATGTTTGCATGTGGACCAGGCTTTGTGTTCTGTTGCACGGGGCTAGTAGCCGGCCCCTGTCCTAACATGAAGGATGTACACCTGACGCGGAGGCGCCTGGTACCCGCCTGGACAGCAAAGTGACTTTTTAGAAAAGATCGACGGTGTCAAGAAGACAAAGTTCAGGCAAACCGTTTTTGGACATTAAGGGTCAACAGTTACCCACACTTCTGGTTACATACCGGTCCAAGTGCTTTTAAAGTTGCTGTGCTGCACACAAGTTGCAGCATGCGGTGGCTTCTGACTTGCTCCCTACAGCCAGTTTCATCCTGCGACAAGCCATCAACTGGTTCATGCCATCATACAATGTGCAATTTTGTTTCTGGACAGACTGTTGCACGGAGCCTGGCTCTTGGAGAAGTCTCAGCGCAGCCACGTGTGTGCCTGACCAAGATGTTGGGGACACGCATGCGGTGTGCGGTGGGGTGGGAGCCCTTTTCACCCCCCGCGGTTTTCCGGCACCGAGCTTGGATTCCACGTGTGGCACCAAGGCAACAAAAGCATGTCCGTTGGTGGAGTGTGTGCATACTTTGTTCATCTATAGGCAAGGTCGCAAACGGATAAGGTGGCTTCTTTCAAGAAGCTAAGGATTTGGAGCAACTTGGGGTTTCTTGCAGGGGTTTCGATGGTTCTAGAAGAGATTTTTGTCGGAATCAGAGACAGAGAGATAGAGAGGGTGTTCCTAGACCCTAGACCCTGGACCCTAGCTAGACCCTACCCTAGACCCTACACCCTAGACCCTACACCTTAGAGCCTAGATTTTAGACCCTAGACCCTAGACCCTAGACCCTAGACCCTGCCTGATTGTTTCCAGAGCAAGGAAGGACTAGAGTACCCTGCTTTGGGAAAGACCGATTCAGGGTTCGGGGATATCTCATGACGCGCGACTCTCCGGCAGAGCAGCCGCTAGCCCTAAACATTAAACCCTAAACCCCAAACCCCAAACCCCACACCCTAAACCCGAAACCCTAAACCCTAAACCCCTAAACCCCCTCGTCAGTCTCAGCGGCTTAGGGATACTCCCCTCCCTGCAACTTTGACCCCACTCCCGCACCGGTAACATTCAGTATTCCCCAGGGTTTATAGAGTGTCGGGTTTCGGGTTTACAGTCTAGGGTTTGGACCATGATAGGGGGTTAATAAGTACTAGGGAAGGGGGTTGAGGATCAAAACACGCAAAACCCTCCGCCCTCAACACCAAACCCGAGCGACCCTGTTTTTATGCGTCATTGCTCATGTCATTGATCACATGGCCGCGCATGTCTTGCTTATGCTGCAGCATTTGGCGACTTTCCCCTGGTCCAGCGCAAACAGCATAGCAAAAACATCTTCATCATATAACAATAGAATAGAATATGAACAGAATATGAATATCATGTGAATGTAATATGAATATAGTACGAGTAGAATTCTAGTAGAATATGAATGTAATATTCATATAGTACCCTCAACCCTCAACCCTCAATCCTGAACAATCCTCAACTCCCTAAACCAAACCCTGCCACCCCCTCGCAAGTGCATTTTTGTGGGCGGTGCAATGATCGCTGGCCCGTGGCCTGGAAGCTATGCGAGCGCCGCAGCCTCTTCAGCTAGGCGGGCGGCAAAAAAACCCTAAATCCCAAACCCTAAACCCGAAATCCTAAACCCTAAGCCCTAAACCCTAAACCCGAAACCCTAAACCCCCTCAAAGGAAGACCGGCGCTGGCGACAGCAGCAGGCAGCGCTGCAGTCGAGGAGGCGCCCCCGCGCTGAATCCTAAACCCTAAACTTGAAACCCTAAACCCCAAACCCTAAGCCCTAAACCCTAAACCCCAAACCCTCGGCGCTTGCATTCCGAGGATCTCCCAGCAACTGAGGAGGCCATTTCGGGTGGCCTCCAGGAGGAGGAGACTCGGAGTAAACAGATGCAGGGCTTTCCGAACAAAATGGTGTTTTGGGGTTTGGAGGTTTAGAGGTTGAGAGGTTTTGGGGTTTAGGGGTTTGGAGGTGTAGGGGTTTTGGGGTTGAGAGGTTTAGGGGTTTAGGGGTTTGGGGGTTTAGGGTCTTTTTTGGGTTTAGATGTTTCCGGGTTTAGGGTTTGGGGGTTCAGAGGGGCTGCCGAGAGTTTCTTTAGAGCCCAGAGTTCAAGGCCACTCTGGGGTCGGGCCTTGGGGCTTCTTCCGTGCTTCTTGAGGTGAGCCGGTGCTTGGCTGGGGTTGTTTAGGGTTTAGGGTTCAGGGTTCAGGGTTTAGGGTTTAGGGATGTCAAACCATGTCACGACCTACTAAGCTGTTGTGAAATAGATTTAGGTCCAATGGGGCTTAGGAACCCCAGACTCTGAACCCTCCCCGTCAAACCCTGTGATAAAATCTGAGCTCTTGGTTCAGGCTTTAGGGTTTAAGGTACCCTAAACACTTAAACCTAAACCCTAAACCCTAAACCCTAAACCCTAAACCCTACACCTCGGCTTTAGGGCTTGGGGCTGCTGCAAACACGCTTCAATATGCGAGGGGGCGGAATCAATCAAGAAAAGGGCTTTAGGGTTTAGGGTTTAGGGTTCAGGGTTTAGGGGTTTGGGTTCAAGTACAGATAGAATTGGTGAATAAGTACGGTCTGAAGCCAGAAGAGATTTAAAAATCCAGGGTCTGGATGCAGAAAACATTTAAAAATCGAGGGTCTGGATGCTGAAAAACATTTTTAAGGCTATGTTTGTAAAGGCAGCCCGGGGCAAACGTGGCACCCAAAGCCGCCCAAAATTCCTAGGACATTGTCCTAGGGTTTTTCTGGCTTTCCCACGGCCCTGAAAAGCCTGTAAAGGCCCAGGAGGCCCCCGAGAGGCCAAAAGGCCGCCCAAAAGGCCTCAACCCCCAAACTTCCAGCTCCAGCAGGCCCTCGTTCTGGGGTTTCGGGTTTAGGGTTTGGGGTTTAGGGTTGAGGAAAAAGGGTTTAGGGTGGCTGGAGATTCGTCGCACGTGTTGAGGGTTGAGGATCTGAAGCACGCCTCGACGTCAAGTCGCGAATGTTAGTCGTGTTGGTTGCAACTGGGGTGTGTGGGGAACGCGCGTGTTGGGAAGTGAATTCATGAAGCTACAAAAGACATGCGTGAACGAATGAATGAGCGATTGAACGACACAAACAATTTTATGAACGTATCAAAAGCCCCTAAACTAGTACATTTCAATTGGGGCCTTAATGTTATTTTATTATTGTATGCACAGGCTTATAGAAAAGAATATTGTTTGCCCGTGAGTGAAAGGAATATAATAAAAGCATGAAAGTCGTATATTTTCCTTCACTTGGAGGTGATAAAGGACTTCTATTAACTAACCAAGTGTAGGATCATAGGTTGGGTTTCAAGAACTCCCTTATTTTCCCAGGCATTTTCGCGGCGCCGACGCCGATGGAAGGTCGGTCACGATCGCGCTGGTACTCGCCACCCAAGAGCAGAAGGGTGGGGCCGAGTGCCCTAAACCTTGGACCGATTTTTCGAGCATGTCGGCTGAAGCATTGGTCCCAAAAAATCCTTACAGAACCATTAGGGCCTAATAGGAGGTAGGGTTTATGTTATTGTTTTCGGTGTGTAACGTTTTGAAGATTATCACCGCGGCGCCTTAATACCTAGCTGAATCCCAAAGCCCAGGCGGTCGCGGCAGCTGCGCGCCCTGACGAAGAGGTCAGGCTTTGGCATGGGGGTGCGGGCGTGGGGTGGGGGGCTGGGGCCTTGTACCTGAAAGAAGGTACCTAACATCAAGGGGTCGCCGATCGGGTAAGATTTTCGGTGGAATGCCTCATTCTAGGATTCCTGGTTGCTGGCTGCAGATGCAAGTTTTTCAGCCACCATGGACCCAAAGGGTTTAGGGTTTAGGATCTGAACTATGCCACAGACGAGGAGGGGTTCGAGGGCATCCTTCGCGGCTGCTTGGAAGAATTCTTCGCTTCAACTGTTTGAAGACACATTCTTGGCAGCTTCATTCTTGAAATTTCGGGTTTGAGGCCTGTCAGCTTAGCGGCTTTATCCAGTTCTGATTCTGACCTGCGTGCCTGTGCCGACCGAGATTACGAGAAGAAAGATGCCACGCTGGGCGAGGTGCAAGCGGCACTCGCCCAGTCCCAACAGGAGTTGCGAGCCTGCCAATCCGACAAGGAGCGTGCGGAGCAAAGCGTACGAAGGCTTCAAGAGCAAGTGGAGCTCGGCTCACTCCAGCAGGCACAGATGAGAACCGACAGACTCCTGAGGAATGAGCTGGAAGCTGAGCTGGAGAAGGCCCGCAAAGAAACGCACCAAAGTGTTGCAGAAGCACAAAGCCTGCTCCAGCAGAAGAGGTCTGAGGTTGAAGAGCTGCGGGCAACCAGCCGAACCCAGCAGGAGCAGCTAGCTGAACTGCGCACAGACCTGGAGGAGTCTGTGCTCGTCCACGAGAAGATGGAGGCGGGGTCCCAGTTTCTGGAGGGTTGAGGATGGGGATGGTTGCAGACATCACAGTAGGCTTGTGGGGATTGTAGGGTCTCTTTGGGTGATTCGATGATGTGTAACCCGCAAGGTTCCCCCAAAGCCTAAACCCCAAACCCTAAACCCTAAGCCCAAACCCCAACCCCAAACCCTAAGCCCTAAACCCTGCAATGTTTTTATTGTTGTTTTAGTTTGAAAATAAGTTGAGATGTTCTGGAGCTGTAGTTCCGATCAGTTCTTGTGGTTGCCCCATGGCTTCTGCAGCTTCAGAGCTGTAGAGTAGGTTTAGGGTTCTTCCTTCCACGCTGTTGCCTACTTACTGTTCCCATCGCCATTATGGCGACATTGCAAAGTTGACACGCCTGCTTCAGGAGCGGCAAGGGAAAGAGGGTGATCTGTGTTTTTTTTGCCTTATTTGTGTGTCTTTTTGTTCGCATTATCTGTGTCTTTGTTTTGTCTGCTTGTTTCGGACGTCTCGAGGAACAGCTCGCTTGAATTTGTTTGTTTGCGTCATCTGTGTCTTTTCTTTTGGCGTTGTCTGTGTCTTTTTGTAGCGTTATCCGTGTCTTTTTGTTCTCGTGAAGCGACTGGGAGGGAAGAAGCTCCAACCGCAGCCAGAAGCTAATCCCTAAACCCAAATCCCTAAACCCTAAACTCTACAAGCTCCAAACCCTAAAGCCCAACCTTACACCCTAAAGCCTAAAACCCTAAACCCCATACCCTACAGCCTGAACGCTAAACCCTAAACCCACAAACCCTAACCCCTAGACCCCAAAAACTAAACCCTACACCCTAACCCTAAACCAACCCTACATCCTCAACCCTAAACCCTAAAGCCTTAAACCCTTTACCCTAAACCCCAAACCCTACACGCCTAAGCCCCAAACCCCAAACCCCAAACCCCAAACCCTAAACCCTAAACCCTAAACCCTAGACCCATCCTAGACCCTAAACCCCCAACCCCCAAACCCTCATCCCTCAACCCCAACAACTAAACCCGACACCCTGAACCCTGCACCTTAAACCCTACACCCTAAACCCCGAAAAAGAAACCCTAAACCCACAGCCCTAAACCCCACATCCTAAATCCTAAGCCCTAAACCCTTAAACCCTTAAACCCTACACCCTCAACCCTAAGCCCTGAACCCCAAACCCAAAACCCCAAATCCCAAACCCTGAACCCTAAACCCTGAACCCTAACCCGGAGCCCAGTAACCTTTACGGTTTAAGTTTTAAGGTTTAAGGTGGAAAGTACCTTGAAAGCCCTAAATGCCCTGTGACCCAAACTTCGGAGGATTCCCGATGTGATTCCAGACGCCAAGAGGTCCGAGTGCATCCGAAAGAGTTTACTTCGGGTTTTGGGATTAGGGGTTTGGGCTTTCGAGTGTAGAGTTTGGGCTTTAGGGAGATATCTTTTTTCTTCCGTGGGTACGTACCCTTAAAACCTAAACATGAGTAGCTAGGGCCCGTGTCATACTCGGTAGCCTGCATGTGGAACCTATCAGCTGCCTATTGAACTTATTGTTTGAATTGTGAGAGGACGTACGGTGGCTAATCGGGTTAGGCTCTACTTCCTCAAGTCAGGAATGAGGATCACTGTATGGGGCGCACGTGTAAAGTGCATATCCAAGATGCCCAATATATTGAGAAGTCATCTTTGTGATCAGGCCCGAGTGCCATTGTGATGTACGTAGTTGTGCTTCCGCCCTTCCCCTCCGAACTTAACCCGGATCCCGAAAGCCTACGAGTCAGGCCAGGCTAAAGCGCAACGAGAGCATCCTTCGCGGCTGCTTGGAAGAATTCTTCGCTTCAACTGTTTGAAGACACATTCTTGGCAGCTTCATTCTTGAAATTTCGGGTTTGAGGCCTGTCAGCTTAGCGGCTTTATCCAATTCTGATTCTGACCTGTGTGCCTGTGCCGACCGAGATTACGAGAAGAAAGATGCCACGCTGGGCGAGGTGCAAGCGGCACTCGCCCTGCCAATCCGACAAGGAGCGTGCGGAGCAAAGCGTACGAAGGCTTCAAGAGCAAGTGGAGCTCGGCTCACTCCCGCAGGCACAGATGAGAACCGACAGACTCCTGAGGAATGAGCTGGAAGCTGAGCTGGAGAAGGCCCGCAAAGAAACGCACCAAAGTGTTGCAGAAGCACAAAGCCTGCTCCAGCAGAAGAGGTCTGAGGTTGAAGAGCTGCGGGCAACCAGCCGAACCCAGCAGGAGCAGCTAGCTGAACTGCGCACAGACCTGGAGGAGTCTGTGCTCGTCCACGAGAAGATGGAGGCGGGGTCCCAGTTTCTGGAGGGTTGAGGATAGGGATGGTTGCGGACATCACAGTAGGCTTGTGGGGATTGTAGGGTCTCTTTTGGTGATTCGATGATCTGTAACCCGCAAGGTTCCCCCAAAGCCTAAGCCCTAACCCCCCCCCTAACCCCCCCGCTTTGTTCTTGTTCGAAACCATCATGCGAGTGTAACCCTAAACCCTAAAAACCCGAAGCCCTAAAACCGTAAACCCTAAGAAGCCCCTAAACACGATACAACGATTGGTGTGGCAGGCGCGGTACTCCACGAGCTTGAATGTCGATTGGTGTGGCAGGCGTGGTACTCCACGAACTTGAATGTCGATTGGTGTGGCAGGCGTGATTCTCCACAAACTTTTCAGTCGATTGGTGTGGTAGGCATGGTACTCCACAAACTTAAAAGTCGACTGGTGTGGCAGGCGTGGTACTCCACGAACTTGAATGGCGATTGGTGTGGCAGGCGTGGTACTCCACGAACTTGAGTGTCGATTGCTGTGGCAGGCGTGGTACTCCACGAACTTGAATGTCGATTGGTGTGGCAGGCGTGGTAGACCACGAACTTGATTGTGCCGACGGGTCAAGTACCGTCGTGCGTTTTGCACACTTTTGGTTGGGGGTTTGGGGGGGTGTTGGAGGGGTGGGGTTTGGTTGCGCCTTGGTTGTCGCAGCTTCCAACCATTCCTAGCTGGCCACTCGGACACTTCGACTACCGTACCGCCTGTTAACCCCATTCCTTCTGTTCCTGAACCTGGAGCCGTAGCCAGGGGGGTCGGGGGGTGGGGGGTGGAGGGGGTGGGGGGTGGGGGGTGGGGGGGGGGTCATAATAGCGTCGGTTCTTCTTGAGTGTCCACGAGTAAGTGCGACGCATGCATGCACAACAGTTGTCAAGTCCAGGTATTTCTCCCTTAAGGTGAAAGTGGCTACGCCAGATCTTATCAATTTAACAATGGAGATGGGAGATTTGCTTTCCAGCACGGGCCATTTCTTGGCCAGCTTGTGACCAGACGAACGTGCGCCAAACAAGCTTTCCAGTGCCATTCTTAACTCCTGAATTCTTGCCCTGCCTTCCTCTAGCCCGGCAGAAGACACTCGTCAATCCTATACTCAGACCCCTGAACCCTAAACCTCAAACCCCCCAAGAGGCCGACCAGCACAAATCCCTTAGCTCTTCACCAAAGTCCCTGAAGCCTGCTGCCCCCCCCACCCCCCCGTTTCCTGGTGCTTCGCATACGGCCAAGAAGAACCGTGGACCGCAAAGCATTCAGGGAAGGGCTAAGCCCTATTCCCATTCGCCCAAATTTTTACGATGTTGCTTACAGGCAACAGCGTTTTGCATTGAAGCGGCGCATGCAAGCGAAATAACACCAAAAAAACACAAACATGGGGTTTTTTCGAAAAACCACGTTTTTGCACCGTGAAACCACGAAAACATCGGCATACGCAGTGTTTTCGGCCTGCGAGCCACTTTCAAAACAAGACACGAAAAACAGGCATGCGCGATCACCGAAAGTACCACGCCTGCCATGGTTTTCACAAAACGGCCTCTGCAACTTGCACTTTTTTTTGGACTAAAACCACGTTCAAACTCGTGCTCCCGCCTAGGCCAAATGCTTACTTGCAAAAAAACGCACGACGGTTAACGCCCCGTGCGGTTGAATGTCCATTGGTGTGGCAGGCGTGGTACTCCACGAACTTGAATGCCGATGGGTGTGGCAGGCGCGGTACTCCACGAACTTGAATGTCGGTTGGTGTGGCAGGCGTGGTACTCCACGAACTTGAATGTCTATTGGTGTGGCAGGCGTGGTACTCCATGAGCTTGAATGTCGATTGGTGTGGCAGGCGTGGTACTCCACGAACTTGAATGTCAATTGGTGTGGCAGGCGTGGCACGCCACGATTGGTGTGGCAGGCGTGGTATTCCACGAACTTGAATGTCGGTTGGTGTGGCAGGCGTGGTACTCCACGAACTTGAATGTCGATTGGTGTGGCAGGCGTGGTACTCCACGAACTTGAATGTCGATTGGTGTGGCAGGCACGAACTTGAATGTCGTTTGGTGGGGTAGGCGTGGTACTCCACGAACTTGAATGTCGATTGGTGTGGCACGCGTGGTACTCCACGAACTTGAATGTCGATTGGTGTGGTGGCAGGCGTGGTAGTCCACCATCTTGAATGTCGATTGGTGTGGCAGGCGTGGTAGTCCACGAACTTGAATTTCGATTGGTGTGGCAGGCGTGGTACTCCACGAACTTGAATGTCGATTGGTGTGGCAGGCGTGGTGCTCCACGAACTTGAATGTCGACTGGTGTGGCAGGCGTGGTACTCCACGAAAATGTCGATTGGTGTGGCAGGCGTGGTACTGCACGAATTTGAATGTCGGTCGGTGTGACAGGCGTGGTACTCCACGAACTTGAATGTCGATTGGTGTGGCAGGCGTGGTAGTCCGCGAACTTGAATGTCGATTGGTGTGGCAGGCGTGGTACTCCACGAACTTGACAGTCGATTGCTGTGGCAGGCGTGGTACTCCACGAACATGAATGTCGATGTGTTTGGCAGGCGTGGTACTCCACGAACTTGAATGTCGATTGGTGTGGCAGGCGTGGTACTCCACGAACTTGAATGTCCACGAACTTGAATGTCGATTGGTGTGGCAGGCGTGGTACTCCACGAACTTGAACGTCGGCTGGTGTGGCAGGCGTGGTACTCCACGAACTTGAATGTCGATTGGTGTGGCAGGCGTGGTACTCCACGAACTTGAATGTCTATTGGTGTGGCAGGCGTGGTACTCCACGAACTTGAATGTCGGTTGGTGTGGCAGGCATGGTACTCCACGAACTTGGATGTGGCAGGCGTGGTACTCCACGAACTTGAATGTCGATTGGTGTGGCAGGCGTGGTACTCCAGAAACTTGAGTGTCGGTTGGTGTGGCAGGCGTGGTACTCCACGACGTGGCACTCCGCGAACTTGAATGTCGATTGGTGTGGCAGGCTTGGTACTCCACGAACTTGAATGTCGATTGACTGGTGTGGCAGGCGTGGTACTCCGCGAACTTGAATGTCGACTGTTGTGGCAGGCGTGGTACTCCACGAACTTGAATGTCGATTGTTGTGGCAGGCGTGGTACTCCACGAACTTGAATGTTGATGAGTGTCGCAGACGTGGTACTCCACGAACTTGAATGTCGATTGGTGTGGCAGGCGTGGTACTCCACGAACTTGAAAGTCGATTGGTGTGGCAGGCGTGGTACTCCACGAACTTGAATGTCTATTGGTGTGGCAGGCGTGTGGAGTAGCACGCCTGCCACACCAGTCGACATGCAAGTTCGTGGAGTACCACGCCTGCCACAGCAGTCGGCATTCAAGTTCGTGGAGTACCACGCCTGCCACACCAATCGACGTTCAAGTTCGTGGAGCACCACGTCAGCCACACCAATCGACATTCAAGTTCGTGGAGTACCACGCCTGCCACACCAGTCGACATTCAAGTGCGTGGAGTACCACTCCTGCCACACCGATCGACATTCAAGTTCGTGGAGTACCACGCCTGCCACACCTAATCGACATTCAAGTTCGGGGAGTACCACGCCTGCCACACCAATCGGCATTCAAGTTCGTGGAGTACCACGCCTGCCACAGCAATCGACTTTCAAGTTCGTGGAGTACCACGCCTGCCACACCAATTGACATTCAAGTTCGTGGAGTACCACGCATACCACACCAGTCGACAGTGAAGTTCGTGGAGTACCACGCCTGCTACACTAATCGACATTCAAGTTCGTGGAGTACGATGCCGGCCACACCGATCGGCACACAAAACCGTAAACCCTCAACACTAGGCATTGTCAAGTTCGGTGAGTACCACGCCTGCCACACCAGTCGACATGCAAGCTCGTGGAGTACCACCCCTGCCACGCCTGCCACCAATCGACATTCAAGTTCCTGGAGTACCACGCCTGCCACACCAATCGACGATCAAGTTCGTGGATGACCACGCCTGCCACACCAAACGACATTCAAGTTCGTGGAGTACCACGCCTGCCACCACACCAATCGACATTCAAGTTCGTGGAGTACCGGTACTCCACGAACTTGAATGTCGATTGGTATGGCAGGCTTGGTACTCCACGTAATTGAATGTCGTGTGGCGCGGCAGGCGTGCTTCTCCACGAACTTGAATGTCGCCTGGTGTGGCAGGCGTGGTACTCCACGAACTTGAATGTTGATGAGTGTGGCAGACGTGGTACTCCACGAACTTGAATGTCGATTGGTGTGGCAGGCGTGGTACTCCACAGACTTGAATGTCGATTGGTGTGGCAGGCGTGGTACTCCATGAACTGGAATGTCGATTGGTGCGGCAGGCGTGGTACTCCATGAACTCGAATGTCGATTGGTGTGGCAGGCGTGGTACTCCACGAGCTTGAATGTGTGGCAGGCGTGGTACTCCACGAACTTGAATGTCGACACGTGTCGCAGGCGTGCCACTCCTTGTGTGTCAAGCGTGGTACTCCACGAACTTGAATGTCGATTGGTGTGGCAGGCGTGGTACTCCACGAACTTGAATGGCGATTGGTGTGGCAGGCGTGGTACTCCACGAACTTGAATGTCGATTGGTGTGGCAGGCGTGGTACTCCACGAACTTGAGTGTCGATTGCTGTGGCAGGCGTGGTACTCCACAAACTTGAATGTCGATTGGTGTGGCAGGCGTGGTAATCCGATTGGTGTGCAGGCGTGGTACTCCACGAACTTGAATGGCGATTGCTGTGGCAGGCATGGTACTCCACGATTTTGAATGTCGATTGGTGTGGCAGGCGTGGTACTCCACGAACTTGAATGTCGATTGGGTGTGGCAGGCGTGCTGCTCCAGGAACTTGAATGTCGATCCGTGTGGCAGGCGTGGTACTCCACGGACTTGAACGTCGATTGGTGTGTGGCATGGGTGGTGCTCCACGAACTTGCATGTCGATTGGCGTGGCAGGCGTGGTAGTCCACGAACTTGAATGTCGATTGGTGTGGCA